TATGCACATACACACACTTATTTTTTAAACATAAAGCAAAGGTTTCAAAACATATCACCAAGAGAGGAAGCAGCCTGAAGCTCCTTGCAGGGGTCAACTGATTAGAAGAATCTCACAGCGCTGTAACAGCAAATTTCTCTCTGAATCACCAACAAACTCTGGTGAATCTGGCTCTTGCAGGATGCTGGTTTTCACCCCTGTCCCATTTGATTCAAAGCCACAAAGGCCAGAGATATATTTGACCATTCAAAAAACCTCTCCACACTATGCACTTGAATAGGCAAAATGACAACTCTGGAACAAAATTATTAACTGTAGGAATATAATTATGGGTTACAAAAGTATCCTTTCCATCCACAGAAAGCTTAGTGCAGTTCTGGAGGCAAACCAGCACAGGAAGGAGGTAATTTCCTAATCAAACTTTTAAGGGTATCTTATCAAACCTACTCAATGTCCTCTACTTGGAAAACTGACTCCAGTGTCTCCTTGGAAAAGAGTGACTAAAATACAGCCATTCAGCAGGACTGAAATTACCTTCTTTCAGATAATATGTACTCATGTGGTATTTCACCACATGGATATTTCACGACAAGAATCCCAAAGAGAATCCCAGACAGACATTCTGCTGTTTCCACCAACAAATATTTTGGCATTCATCCTATTTTCATCAGTGAAACACAGTCAATTCACTGCAGCCAAGTAAGTGTAAACAAATCAGTTTTTAAAAATTAAGGCAACATTAGGAAATGTTCCTTTTCTTTTTTTTTTTTTTTTTTTTTTTTAAATAAATCAACCCTTGAAAATGTCATTTTACAGCTGCAGAAAATGTGACTTTGCCTGACTTTTTTGTTGGGTCAGCCAAACTTGAAGAAAAACATGAAATCTCTCTGTAACCAAGGATAGACTACTACTTTAATAAGCACTATTCCCAAAGGAAGAGAAAATCCAATTACTAAAATGGTAGCATCATCTTTTCATTATTATTTCAGGAGCTCAGAGTTAATTGGACAAGTTTAGCACCCTGTGAATGAATGTGTGTCCTCATTTCACAATAAATATTCTGTAATTACTTCCATTTCTCTGAAACCAGGAGATGGCTCTCATTAGCAATACCCTGGAAGAAGCCTTTTGTGGGCTTGAGTAATATTACAAACCCCTTCATTAGCATATCTGGGTACCCCACAGAAGCTCTTACACACAGAGAAATGTTCTTATCTCTTCTTTCATGTAACTGCACAAAGGCCCCACATACCTATGGGGAAGCTGCACAAGTGCTTTTGCCTCAGCCTCCACTGCAGCCCAGCATCTGTCACCTCATGTCCCACTGGGCTCCTTGGACCAGGCACTCCTGCCTTCACTTGAGCCAAGCTACAAGGTCCAGCACACCTTCCCAAAGCACAGGACAAAGCCAGAGTGGTAGCATCCAGCTGAGAAACCTTGGCCTGATCCACCTGACAGGTCACAACTTCCATCTTCCTCTTTCCACCTTCAACAACTGCCCATCCAGGACCCTTGTGCTCCCTTCTGTGGGGGCATCTGCATTTTCTAGGATATTATTAAGGACACGTGATGCCAGAGAGAAATGCCACAAGGCAGGCTGTGCTGTGTTTAACTCGTCACCCACCAGAGAACACACCTGTCAGGTGCTCTCCACCACCTCCTATGTTTTAAGAGACAAAACTTGATCTTCCACACAGAAGCCCAGGAGTGTGCATCTGCCCCTCTGGACTCATCACTGACCCCTGAAATTGCTTTCTTGCACATGAACACACACACACACACACACACACACACACACACACACTAGTTGCCTTAGTAAAACAGATGTTTCTGAAAGCAAAAGATGTTAAAACACATCATCCAAGTCCCACACTAGAAAGACTTTTTTCAGAATTTGGAGCAATTTCTCTTCTTCCAAATCTTTCTGTTGAAGAGAACAGAAACAGCTGCACAGCATAACAGTAATGTTTTATACAAAGTTAAAGATTATCTGCAGATTTAGCACAGTTCTTCTTATTCTCTCCAGCATCATGTCATTCTCCTGTTAATTGCAATGATATGGCAGAGCTCAGGCTGAGTTCTATACTGTCAGGCTGCTTTGGCTGAACTGCTATTCTCACACTGATTGCACTTTTCCCTCATAATCTCCAAATCCATTTCAGCTGCTCCTTTTCAGAAGGCAGCACGATGTACATCTGGCTGCATACCTAGCCTTCAGCTGCATTAAGATGCACTCTGTTTAACCAGTTATAATCTTGCAGGGCTTCCCTCTTTTTCTCATCATACCCCAATCTTCACCTAAATTACTCTGCTATTACCAGCAGAGATTTGATATATTCTAGAAAACAGCCTTGTGCATTGTTGTCCCTTAAGTACAAACATCACCTTCCAAGCACAAAAACAAATGCTTGGAAAGGAGGGGAACAGAATTCAATGAAGAAAATGTCCCAGAATTTCCTGCAACTGTTGTTGGTTTCCTTTATTCATTATATTTAGCTTTCTATAGAATATTTAATTACCATCTAGGGTGGAAAATGAGAACTTGGTCTTAGACTAAGAAAATTGAATTCCATTTTCATTTTCCTCTCTCCCACCACAGAATTTAATAAGAAGCTTGAGGACAAGTATTTGGACACTTCAGCGAGCATCCTTTCTGGAGCTGAGACAGGTGTTGAGCTCAAGCTTTAAGTCTGAGCAAAAACTTAAACCTCAGCCCTGAAGACAAGCCTGGAAAGAAACTCCTCACAGTTCCCTCACAATCCCACTGTCTTTTTTCCCCCTTTTTCCTTTATTTGTTGTTGTTACTAAGAGGAAAGTCTTAAGTATCCGACTCTATCTGTGAAGTTGAATCTTTAGGTACAGCTTTCTGAAGTTTGGAAATTCAAAGCTTGGGGTTTAAAACTAGTCTAGCTTACATTCTTGATCTGCACAGTTAAGTTAAGCCTGAAACTTTCTCTGACCCAAAAAGTCAAGTCTGTTTTCATCCCTGAGAGTTTTACAAATATGTTTTCCTTTGCCTAAGTTACAAACACTGTGGGAACATGGACATAGCTTGATTTGAATATAAACATTAGAGCTGATGTGTCCCCTCTGGAGAGGGGACACATCAGCATCTTTGTGTCTCCCTAAGCAAAGCTGCTTTCAGGCATTATACAATAACTGGGTACAGACATAAACAGGCTGAGGAAAGATCTGAAATAGAACATAAATGACCCTATGCTAATTGAGAGCTGTAAAGGATGGCAAATTTATTAATACTTCCCCATGTAAAATAATCATCTCACACCAGTGAGATAATCTTCTACTGTTAAACTGAACTGTACTCACTCCATCAGTAAGAATTAACAGATGGAGCAACTCTTTGAGATTTACATAACAGTAATTAAACAAATGCTCACAATGGCCACATGATTTCATGCTCAA